GTGTTGTCAGGCTGAGCTGTTCACTGGGCTAAGTCATATACACGTGTCCCCGAGCTAGGAGGTCGGGCCAAATCATCCTTCATCAATACCCATGGATCGAAATTTCCATACGCATTCAGTTGTATCAGCCGATATGTATCATATTGGGAGGTTATAGATACACCTCTACAGAAATGTTTCAGGGTGTGACCTAGTTCAAGGGTATAGTATTGGGAGGCTATAGATACATCTCTACGGGAATGTTTCATGATGTGTGTGACCTAGTTCAAGGGGTAGATGAGACTTAAACTGACACCTCTGAACTAAATTGAAAAAAAAAAAAAAAAGTGAATAGATATATAGGCTGGTATGCCCCAATTGGCCTATCATTTGTTTTATTTTTAAAACTTGCAACAACCAACAAGAACAAAAAAAAAAAAAAAAACAATTCATATGAGCATCCTAAACTCATCATTAAGAAGAATCGATTCCAAAAGAATAGTCCATTGGATTGGAATTGTTCTGGCGTTCAATTTTGCAATTATTGATGTTATTGAATCTGGTATCTGTGAATGTTTTTTTAATTCCCATCTGAAAACTGAATGCCTATTAAAATGGAAAATGTCCGCCGAGTTCAGAATTCTGATGCCCGCTCTTGTGGAAATGGAAATCGCATGCATGGGAAATGATAATGAAGGGAACACAAAACACAAGTGCCTAGAAATGCTCAAGATTCAAGAAATGTCTGGAAAATGCATTCCACCACCAAAGGAATTACAATTTCTTCCGTATTTCACTCGTTTACTTTCATCTGTTTCTCACTTTGGCAGCAGACAGCTAGGTAACATGTTTCGACCCTGGAGTACGACCTTTGGTGATTTGGATACGTTGCAGATGGAGACACAAGGTACGAGTACGTGTTTCAAGAGTTTATGTAGCTGTGACCATGGTTGTAGCATTTTCTTGCAATATCAAATTCTCAATTCTCTGGTTGGATCGCCAGGCGTGTTCATGTAAATGCTGAATATGGWTTTTCTCCTCACATCATCATCCTTAAATTCAACGTTTTAAAAAACGACCYCGAATTGGAATCTTTCTGGTCATCGGTTTTTGGGTTAATAGTTTGATATTTTTGTTCGAATGAATAATCTATTTTAATAAAAAATTAAAAATAATAAAATAATAAAATAATAAAACAGCAAAAAACTATTAAACAGGTTGATAATTTTATCATCTGGGTCAATAAATTACTGATCAATTTAACGGTTTTTTGTTAGAGATTGGGTTTGGAGTAAAATGAAATCGGTTGCCTAAATGATTTTCAGACCAAACGGTCGGACTGTCCAGATCAATGACAGTTCAAAAACATTGCTTACACTCACATCACATCACTTGCTGAGAACATCTCCCCATGAGTGAAAACATATAAGCACCTGAATCCTGACGTGTGGCTGCAAAATACGCTGTGACTACTGGTTTGAACTCTATCCGGTTTATCCTCTTCCTACTGCAGGGCTCCGGTGGAGCAAGTTTCAGTTCAGCTGTTATCCATTGCATGGTAAGAAAGTCTCAAGCAGTGCATTCTTTTATTGTTGCAACATAACCCAATGGATCAGAGATAGAGTTATGCATTTTATTGATACGTATCATGTTAATGGCTTTCTAGTACGTCCCTTCAAGGGTTGTATCGAGTTAAACACTGGTTTAGAGGGTAGTTGGGCCTTAAATTGATTCCTCTGAATCGATTTCGAAAAAATAAATAAAACTTAAAAAAAAATACCAATACAGGCCAATATGCTTGATATGCCCTACTAGCATCTCGGCTTGTATTGATACTTTGAACCTTGAAAATGCGATACTTTTTAAAATGCAAATCAATGAAAATAAGTAATTCATGAGACATTTTTAATGTAATTGATTGAAATTTTGATATAATGTATCATAAAAGTTTCAAAATGAAGTGTTGTTATTGGGTTACTTTCAAAGCTAATGCATCATAAAAGGTATGTTTATTTTTGGTAATCAATTCTAGAGGATACGATTATCAATAAGAAAGAAATAGAAATTTGTAAAATTCCTTAAGAAATTTCCCTTTATTTTTTTTTTGTTTTTCTTATTTTCTAGCAAGCGAAACACAGCCTAATGTATGTATGTGTGTATTATTTATAATAATTTATTTTTATACTGTTATTTAATATCATAAACAAATTTTAAAAAAATACTAAATTTTAAAAAAATACTAAATTTTAAAAAATCTTTCAAAATTTCAGCCAAAATAAAGTTATCCAATATTTTTCATATTTTTGTTTAGCTGGTTATACATAGAATCAAAATTCTCACCCACATTTGAAACCATGATTCACCTTTCTATCTCAAATAAACGTCGGCATAAATCCCTGGTCTGCCACAAGTAACGTCAACCTAAATCTGCAAGCAGTCCCGATATGCTCGTCACACCAATCTCATGGCACTAGTCACACATTGGGAAATCATCTCCTGTACATGGTTGTTTTCATTTATTCTTTCCGATGCACGAATGCAACATGCTGTGAGATTGGTGTGAAGAGTGCTCTGTGAGGAGTATATGATATCTGGACTCATCTGCTAGTGGCCAAACACTGCTAAGCACATCACGATTTTGTGCCACCTATCTTCAAAATATGCTATGTGAGGAGCATATCTGCCACATGCCCGTAAGGGTTGTATTTCATTTTTCTTGGCATAGTATAGCACTTTTTCAGCAACAATCTATAGGTATGTTCGTTTGCCCTGAAATCTGACATTTGAAAATGCAATAATTACATTAAGAGGTATTTTGATATTGGTGAACTTTTTTTTTTCCTGTCAATTCTGAATGAAGAGAATATTGTTCTGAATTCTGAATTCTGAAAATTATCAAATATCCATTTTAATTTCATATACAGGTTTTTATTTGCTTTTTTCGGAGTATCACTAGAAAACAAAATATTGTATGATTGCACTTTAAGAGATAAGAGATAAGAGGAAATGAATAATCATTTTTTTTTTAAGTTAAAAGATTCTTCTTAAGAGATAAGAATTAAGAGGAAGCGAACAAGCCCATATAACCCTTTTCAAAGGTGTGGTG